ATGGGGCATTCCTGGTCATGTGACGTATTGGTTAAAGTGCTGCTGCACTGTCATGGTTCGCGTCCCGCTTAGAGTGTTGACAAGACCTAGGCGAGGTCGAGATTGCTGTACACCCTGAATGAGAATAACTTTGGAGAAGCAAGGCTATGTGAAATTCATTGGAAACATCATTTCTACTCATATAATTGTGGGAAAATTCAACTAGCAGTCATTCATCACCTTAAACTAAATGGGGTAAATAGATCATAATATTATATAGTTTTTGGAAAGGCATGCCAATGATTAAAGAGTTAGCGAGTAGACATGCACGTAACCTAGGAAGTGGTTTTGTAAGGAAAAAATCGAGGGTCAGTTTAAAACAGCTCCTTGACTATCTGAATTTTGAGCAAGGCCTGATCAGTATTTCCATGATACAGGTTAGGAAAATACTAAAAATCGTGCTTATGTTTACTGGCGAGCCCTCTTGCGATCATTTTTAAAGATTACATTTCTTAAGCTAAATTTTGTGTAAGCTTTGACCTCAGCATGTTTATTTGCTGCATAGTCCATATTTTCTTAGATCCTGCCAAAATGGTCGAATTTTGCCTTCACTCTGTTTGTACCTACTAACTGGCTCCTAATGTTTTGGTACTTTTCAATTTTTCATTCTTAATTCTATTTACTTGACTGGAAACTATATTGTCCTTCTATTTATAGTATTATATGTTTTGTTTTGATAATTATTATAGCTTTATTAATATTTTGATAATAATTATGTTTAAGTGTCCAAGGCTGCTTGAGATAAAGTAATGTTCGGCTGCAAGCTCTGTTCATGTATCCTCTACTCCTTTTTTGTCTCTACCTCTTCCAACGCCTACCCACCGATTTGCCAATGAAGATGATCTTGGCACTTTTATGACGAACCAGGAGCTTGAATTAGGCACTCGCCGCAGTGATGTCTCCAACATTGGACTCTTTAAGCTGTTTCGATCCAAGAAAAAGCGATACCGATCCGCAGGCCAGTCAAACTCTCCTCTCTTGTCATTATTTTTGTAGGCTTTTTTTCATTATTCTTTTGCACCATAATCTGAGGTTTTGCCACTTGTGGTGATCACCAAATTACACGCAACCTGTGTTGGACACCCATAAAAACTAATGCAAGGAGCCGACTTATTCGCGTCTCACGATTCTTGAACTGCGAAGTGACTTTATCATATCCCGCATCCCGAATTCATTTTCTCCTCGTAACTCTGTCGCTGTTTCGGCCTTTAGTCGCCTTCGCAGATGTCTCTGTCACGAATTGACCAGTTTCTTCCGCCAATGCAAGGCCATTAATCCCCTCATTCGATCATCTTTATAGCACGGGACTTTTCCTATACTCTTGTCTCTGGAATATGTCACTTGTTGGCTGCTGCCAAGTGTCCCAAATGGTGGTGCTGAATGACCAGACAGAAAGCCATCAAGGCTGCTATTCTCTTCTTCCCCAGGATCATGGCATTGAGGTCACTCACTTCCATCAACTCTACAAGTCTGCTCTGCTAACCTCTGACCCACGAAAGCTTGAATTTCTTAAGATTAAGTCGGTGGCATGAGCTTGGCAAGTAAGCATTTTGAACTTTTAAAAATACATCATTATAAGGTCAGAGTTAAGAGGATAATCTTTGAAAGTTGGCAGCAATCGTATCAGATATACGTAGAGTATCATTAAAACAAATGTTTGCTAACAAACGTGCTACGGCTAAGCCTACCTTTCGGAATTGGTTGGAAGCAAAACAACTTATTACCATGCATTGAGCCGATTAGCAGGCATCATGTAAATTCTCACCAAAACAACTAGTTGAATCATAGTTACAATTTTTGGCAGAGTGAAAGGACTCGTCTCAGATATTCGCCTTATTTGCATAGACTTATTTGCAAGCTTTTCTCACTCCACTCCGATACAACTTGTATTGCTGCAGAAGCTGGGTAGGGGTTCTATCGATTTGAGGGGAAGGTACTGCTTCCTACCGTTCTGCCATCAGATGCCGGCAGTCGGGCCTGAATTTGCTCAGCTTTATCGTGTTTAGTAGCATCGCCACTTTTGACTAGAGGAAGTCAAGTATAACCTAGTCAGGCAACTGGTTGTCCGGTTGTAGAGACTGTCATTTCGTATGAAACTGCATGCTGAAAATACTTGTAGGTTGATCTCACCAA